ATTACATTATATTGTATTATATTGTATTATATTGTATATTATATTATATATTTCATTATATTATAATATATCATATTATATTATATTATATTGTATATTATATTATATTATATATTATATTATATTATATTATATCATAATATATTATATTATATTATATTATATTATATTATATTATATTATATTATAGTATAGTATATTATATTGTAGTATATTGTATTATATTATATTACTGGGGGTATATGAGCTGTCCGCCTAAGCGGTATCTGCAGCCCAGGAACCACGGATTCACCAAGTACGCTTTTCCGGTCTTTGTGATCCTTCTCTTCATAGGCACGGCGTGTAGGAAGGGCTGCTGTGCTTTCTGAAGGCAGAGCTTCGAGCTCCTGGCCTTACTCTTTGTTTTAGTCAGGGGTGGTTCACGGTTTCTCGCCTGCTGTGTCCCAATTTTTCTTCCCCATGATTGGATCATGAGTCTCTACTACGTGGGCTTTGTTCCGCATGCGGCTCATTTCGCCTTCACCCCAAGCCCGAATTAGCCCAATCCCTCGACGCTTATGAAGCAGCCTCAGACACGGTGCCTCCGAATCCTAAAACCAGTTTTGAACCCCTAAGCCCTAGGACCCTCAAGCAAGAAGCCAGGTCCTCAAACGTTTTCGCAGAACTTTGGCCTGAATCTCTTTTGGGCCTGGTGGTGGCCGGGCATCTTGCTAACCTATCCCATCCTGGGGCGCTTCTGGTGCGTGCCTTGACATTGTTTGGTTGAGGATTGAGTGCGGCTGCAGCTTCCGGGCATTAGGGTATCGGCGGGGTTGAAGTGCAAGCGGCATGGGCCTGATGGTGCCGTTTCCTCCCTAAACCCTAAACCCTTATAAACCCTAAAACCCTATAAACCCTAAACCCTGAAGATCAGGGCTGATCCCTACCACCCCCGAAGCCGGAGCGGCTCAGCAGCTTTGTGGTGCCCTCTTTTTCATGGGGAGCCTTGTTGACATCCAACCAACTCCGAACCCGGACCCGCATGGCCCCCATGTCCCTCTACTTCGGGTTATCCGATATCCTCTAGATTTCTTGTGGGTGGACTTGGATATTTCGTAAAAAGTCTCGGGCTTTCCGGTAAGCTTGATGGGTAGTGCTCTAAAGTAGGGTCCCTTTTTCGAGTCCTTTTTTATAAGGGTGCCGTACTATACTGGGGACCCAAAAAGGGGACCCTAATTTACAGAACTACCCTGATAGACACCCCAACGGCCTCGCCAAGCGACCTCGAACCCAACTAACGCCTTTTTCCGCCGAGCCCTGTTCTCAATCAACGTCAGGCAGTCTGCCCTTTCATGCTCCTGGGAAGAAATTTGGGAGCCTGAGGAAATAAGATGCTTCTTCTGTGGGGTTTAGGGTTTTAAGCTTTGTCATTTTAATTAAAGGGTTTAGGGTTCATGCGGGGTTTTGGATTTGACGTTCTACCATTGGGGTCTCAGCTTGTTTCTTCTCTTATAGGGTCTGCAAACCCGAAGCCTTCTTGAAGATCAGACCCTGAACTCTACGCCCCACGCCCAGATCCTCGAGCATCTACTTTATCTACATATCACTGAAGGCCTGAACCAAGTGTCCCCTTAGCACCAAGCCGCCTCCCTCACTTTCAAAAAACCGCAAACTCTTGAAAGCGCGACCTGGACGGTCTTTGTGTTCAGAGCTGAGCTTCGCTCAAGGGATCCAGGGCTTAGTGCACGGCAGTCCCCGGCTCCAACAGTCTTGGGGACGAAGCCAAAGGTTCTGTTCAAAGAGCTCTTCGTGGGATGTTCTCAGAGGTTTCCCAGCATCACTTAGCGTTTTGAGAGGGAAGCTCTTAGCATGGACATCCCCCTTACAGCAACATTGCCCCCAAATGGGGACAACTAAGGCGACAATCTTCCCACAAGCAAAACCGTCTTGTCGAATTTGATCGTTGGGTTTACTTGGGTTTAGAGGTCTGCATAAGGGATGGCACTTCATACCGTGCCGCCACCATCTTCTCCAGGTATGTTGAGAGCATACGAGCATTGGCGATGGGTTTTAACAGAAGCGTAAGCTCTAAGCCCTGAGACTGTTTATCGAAGCAAAGAGCTACCCTAACCCCTAAACCCTAAAAAGGATCTATGGGGAGGTGGTGCAACGATGGCGGGTGGGCCAGGGCGCCGTTCTCCAGAAATGGCCGACGAAGCAGCTGGAAGCGTATGGACTCTTTGTCCTCGAAGTTGTTCTGGCTGTATTGCGTTGTTTGGGAGGGCCATATTTGTAGATGTAATTATATATGAAATCTGTATCATCACGCACATACGCATGTGGTATATTTCTTTACAAGCCCATGCGCACACACACATGTATATATATATATATATATATGATCTACGACAGCGATGAAGCAAGGTCCATGGTTCCTCTACCTCCTCTTCCTTGCAATCCTGCTCTGGGAGGCCAAGACGTGCATGTGCGTTTGAGAACTGATCTATAGTCCTCCCCCCGAAAATCTACATGCCGCGGGGTTTTGTTCAGAGGCGTTTCGGAACTGATCTATAGTCCCCGCCTCGAAACCCTACATGCCGCAGGGTTTCGTTCAGAGGCGTTTGGGGTGTGGAGGGTAAGCGGGGGGGTGGAGCTTTGATGAGCCAGGATATACTGGGATTCTCCATTAATGCTTCTCGTTGGTTATGGAAGTCTAGGGAGCCTGCAGAGCAAAACAGCGTTGCAGCAAGTCCCCTCTTCAAAGCCTGCCGTGCGTTGTGAAAGCTTCGGGCTGCAAAGCTGCAACCCTTAATTAAACGAACCAAAAAATGCTAGAGACCCGAAGATCCCTCAAATTCGACTGCAGACCCTCATGCGAGCCCTAAGAACCAATCATCCCAAAACCCCAAGACCCCCATGACGGACCTACTTCGAAACATGCTGCCGGACTCCCTCCCGCTTCATAACGACAGGCAAGTCTCCCCAAGTTTAGAAGCACCCTCTACCAGAGGGGCTTTTCACATTAGGGGTACCTAATTGGATGATGGTCCTTGCTTGAGGCTTCTACTCGTAGTGTTTAGCGTTGATATCGGGGTCCCAGCGGGGCCCCCTCTTTGCTGAAGCTCCCATACATGCAACTTGAGTTCTCCAGCTTTGTTGCTAGGCATATTAAATCAAACTTGGTTGCTTCTAATTAGTGAACTCTCTGCGTTTGAAAGCAACCCTTCCTTCCCCTGCTAGTCACATCCCGAACCGAAGGAGCTTTGGGTGCTGGAGAACACAGCGTACTTGTCCTCCTGGCTTCTCTTGCTCATCACCTTTGGCGCCATAGTCGGCTCCTGGTTCTATGAGCGGCGTGTCTGGTGCCGCTATCTTTGCCCCATCGGTGGCATGAACGGCCTTTATGCCTCTCGGCCGGCGCTGCTGTAACCGTCCTCTGAAACCTTTAGTGTGTGTCGAATACCAGACTAGTTCAGGGCCACCAACGAAGCGAGCATTGATTCCATCGCCCTCGCATGTATTTATGGCCCCGCTTGTGTTGGAGATAACGATACCCGTTCGCAAGTGGCGTAGTTTACTTGCGGTCCGGTAACCAATAAGCCTGATCGCCCCACTTGCCCCGTGGCTGCATTTTCTTGGGGCTGTCGATGCGTAACATTGCAAGCCAGCCGCAACAAGGCCTAAGGGTTGGAAGAGCCGCCGGGTACTCCCGGCGACCAAGGCCTTCACCACGTGGGGCAATGGGGACAGCCCGAATAATTTTGCCAGGCTTAGAACTAGGGCAAGTGGGGGCGAAGTCGATTTCAACAACTCGGTGCCGGCAAGTGGGGCAAGTCGGGCAACTGACAGAAATCATGTTGCGGTTCTAGTGCCCCCGTGCCCTGTATTCTTTGTCATAGTTGGGTAACATTTTACATTTTTAAGGGTACTTAAACCCAATAAGGAATATACATTTTTAAGTTTTTAATGCTACCCCAACCATGAACAAGTATTGTTTGGATGGGATGAGGATGAGTACAATCGCGTCTTTGTCTCTTTATGGAGGGCTGCACATCGAACGGTTCATCGGGCGTCGTGCGAATGACAGCATTTGCTTCAGTCTTAGAAGTATCACCTATACTGTACTACTTGATTGACTTCAACAACAGCACTGCTTTTTTGGTATTGTGCCTACTGTAACTGACGATTGTTCTTATGATTATGATGTGTCGGTAGGCCTGATAAGAGGTGGTTGGCAACATGGCAAATAGAATTTGGGCTCGTGGATAATTCGGGCATCGGGAAAACCGGAGTTCAGGGAAAATAGGAAAATAGTGAATGGGAACAACACAGCGTTGTGGGAGAGTTTTCAAAGCGCGTCACCGTTACGGTTCCAAGGGACCTCCTAACTTCGGAACCGGCTCACACTCCGAAAGACCCGAAGCCTCCGTGCTTGTTGGGCTTTTCCTATCCCTTCTTACGCATGCCGGAAGCCTGCAGCTCCTGTGGTTGTGGGTTGAGGCCCCCTTTCCCTCTCCGGGTTCTGGGATGTAAGGAGCAAACAAGGGAGTGGTGTGAAACATNNGCGCCGCAGGCTGGATGCAAAAAAGGTTTGGTCCTGAGAAGGGGTGAACTTCCTCAGACTCAGGTACCCTCATGCAACCGTGCCAGCATACAAACTACAAGTTGCATCGCAGAGATAGAAATGAGCACACCGGCCGGGGCAGTCAGATGCTGCCAGAACCCATCAGACGTGGGCATCAGTACCACGGAAGCTGGCTAATCATCGAATCCAAATCCACAACAACCCGAACCACACGCTCAAGCTCCTAGACCCCAGAGTACTTAGCATTGTAAGGAGAAAGTCCCAGGCATTGTTGGCGCTGACGGAACTTCGATCTCAACAGGGCGAGTGCAAGGCAGGCAGTTCCTTTGAAATAGGAGGTCTTTGGAAAGTCTGGATTTTTCTGCCACGTCGTTTCGTTTTAAATGTGTTGGTTGTTTCATGTTGTCTAAGGGCTTGCTCATGATTGCGCCCCCCCCCCCCC